AAAAAAAAAAAAAAACCCATCCTACCCCCCAATGACATGGTTATCTGACCTTGACTTTAATATTTTTAGTGATGAGACACTCATTATTTTACAAGAGAACCTGTGTCACAATTGGACGGATTTTGGTGAGCAAGGTCTTCCTTCTATTGATTCAAAATTTCCTTCCTGTAACGTCTGGCCCTTGGAGCAACAATGAGTAAGTCTAGTTCCTGTTCTGAATGATGAACTTTGAAATATTTGAAGACATCTAAAATATCTCCCCTTAGTATTTGCTACTTCAGAATAAGCAACGTAAATACCTCCAGCTGTCCCTCACTTGTTCCTCCCTGATAGTCCCCTCATCTTCCAGGTGGATGGTCTCTGGGCACTCTTCAATTAGGAAACATACGTCCTCCAGGGCAAAGTGGAATTAAGTCTTATTTTTAATGATGGATTTAATTGTACTTGAGCCATAAAGCTACTAAGTGATCCACTTTTGTAAGTCAACTATGCATATAATTATGCACTATATCATTACCAATACCAGCATCTGTTATTAATTATAAAATGTAAAAGCAGATTTACTCTGATGTAATGAACCTCCATCTCTGTGGGAAGTCTGTCTAAAGAACATCTCGTAACTGACAATGCCAGCCTGCTACTGAAAGTCTTTTGATGAAAATATGAAAAAGCCTTTCAGATAATCTGGTTCTTCAACTTGCACACGCACAATCATGTGGCTTCTCTCAATCTCAAAATTCATGGAATAAGCAATTATAGACAGCCTGAAAGTAAAGCATTCTATGATAAATACTACTAGTGGAAATAACCTAAGACAAACTGGTAAAAATGAATTGCATTTTTACAGCAAGAAAATTTTATCAAATGTTTAATTGAATGCCTTTCAACTAAACAAAGTACAGTTGAAGTGACTGTCCATATTCAGACTTTATGGGAAGATCTGGTAAACTGATTCGTGTTCTGACATTCTTATGATCAATGTTGCTATAGTCATATTAGCAGTATTAATCACTAAAGAAGGTAGAGATTATTATATATGGTGGTGTAGCCCAGTGATTTCCCATATTGACTTGCCACCCCTAAACACTAACAAAAGTTCACACTAGGAAAGTTGGATAGGTCTCAATCCACCTCTATACTTACACCTCTCTACTGTAATCACCTGTGTCTTTAAAACCTAGTAGTGAGTTATAATGTATTTGGATATCCACAATTATGTTTGCATTTAATAATATCTTGGAAATATTAAGCACTGTTTTCTGTTTTATGGAATGAACAGGGCTTTAACTGTTGAACTTGTTAGTTGACCGTCCTTATTTCAGACTTTCACCCAGAAAAAAAGATGTAGCATAATCACGGAGAACTCAGAGACATCGACCCAATAATTCTTTGATATCTTTTCAAATAAACAACCTGAGTAATTCAGTTGTTTCAACAATTTTTGTTATGAGCTGTGTTCCCTCCAAATGCGTATGTTGAGGTCCTAATCCCCAGAACCTCAGAATGGGATCTTATTTGGAAATAGACTCATTGCAGATATAATTAGTTAAGATGAAATCGTACTGAAGAAGGGTGGGTCCCTAAAGCAATATGACTGGTGTCCTTACGAACAAGGTGAAATCTGGAGATATATACAAACAGGGAAGAATTCCATGTGAAGGTGAAGGCAGAGATCGGGGTGAAGCTTCTACAACCAAGGAACAGCAAAGATTGCCGTCAAACCACCAGAGGCTGAGAGACGGGCACAGAACAGATTCTTCCTCACCCCCCTCAGAAGGAACCAAGCTTGCTAACACCTTGATTTCAAGCCTTCTAGCCTTCGGAACCATGAAGCAATAAATATCTGCTGCTTAAGTCACTCACTTTGTGGTACTTTGTTACAGCCGCCCTAGGAAACTAACACAATTCTGAATCTCTTAAAAAATACTTGGCACACTTCTCTGTGGCATGTCTTCAGAGCCCAAAGCACTTTATTTTGGATATGCTTAATGTGGCGTAGTCTTGTCCTCTGAGATGAATTTTTTAACAGCCAAAAGCTACACATATCTAAGATATAAAGATGATGGATCATTTGTGTACATAATCCACCATCTTTTTCAAATAATTTACACCATAAATTAATGAAACTGATTTTTGTGCATCTCTACAACTGACTTTGGCAGCCTAAAAGATGTTTTGAACAATAATAGTATTTCTAGGGAAAAATGTATAACCTCCTAAGGTAACCATCTTGAAATATATATAAAAAGGCATGTTTTATAAATCATAACATTCTGTTTTAAAGTTTCACTCTTTATAGCTATATTATATACGTGTGTGTGTGTGTGTGTGTACGTGCATGTATGGATGATATATTATGAATAGTGTGAGTTGTTAACTTTATGGTAAGCCAGAGGTTTTCAATAGCGCTTTCTGATACCCAGATGCTCGACTGGAGATGTTCCTGGGAAATGATCCCAGCCCCTTGGCCTGAGCACCTTCCCTTCCATTTGATTTACATTTTGATCTTCCTTTCTAGATCAAGACTGCAATAAAATTTTCTGTGATGTGGGAATGTCTTATATCTGCATTGTCTGATACAGAAGCTGCTAGTCTCAAGTGGCCTTTAAGCATTTGAAATGTAGCTATTCAACTAAGGAAATGACATTTTAATTTAATTCAATTTTAGTTTAAATAGCCACATGTAGCTATTGGCCACTGTACTGGATGGTGTAGTTCTAGATTTTAATTTGAATTAAGATTCTGCTGCTAACAAAGTTCGAAAATCACCACTAAAAATGAAGGAATAGGAGAACTTCTGCTAATAAAGGAATAACTGATGATTCAGATTAATTCTCCCAGAAAACACAGCCATGCAACTTTCCTGGGCATGTGATGATTGATTTTAAACCCAGTGAGCATCTAACTCCATTAAATCTGCCAACTAAAACTAACATCGCTGATCATTAGCCAGTAGGGGGAACTGAAGAGTAGAGGACAGCATTTTCCCTGGAGAGTGGGATTTATTTATTTATTTATTTTTCCTACATACGTTTTAGTCTGTGTGGAGGCCCTAAAATACATATCCTGTCCGGGAACTCCAAACCTTGTCTTCCCGAATATCCAGAGTTCTTTACACACCCTGCATGGACCTGTTTTCAAAGGATCCCTAGGAGGCAACAGAAATTGGTTCTACACAGTACAGTTTAAAAATCCAGTTGATTCTAAACCTAGTCTTTCCCAATTTCCTTTGTTAACATGTGATAAGGTTCAGATTTTTATATTGATTTTTAGCTTTATCCTGTTTCTCCACATACCAGAGAAAAATTTTTAAGGGCCTTTATATTTAGAAGGGGAAAATTTCATTGCCATGTTGTTGATTCTTTACTTAAAAGTCGTTATAAGAAAATTCGTATGCATGATAAGTTAACCACATATGGCCTTACCTCTTGATAAAGGTCACTAAGATCTTCCTGGTGGGCCTGTTTGGAACATCCTGGGAATTCCCTAACACAACAGGAATCCGGGGGCCAGTCCATCTCTGTCATTTCCAGCCAGTCAGTGAAGTACACCACTCCACAGCACTTAAACTGCAAAAGAATGACTGGTCAGGCTCAGAAACTACACAAATATTTTCTTAACTTACAGAAGATTAAACGTTAGATTTCTTAAATTTTTGTACCCAGAGCTAAACGCACTTCTGTCATCACCTAAAGATATGTGTACATTCTATATTGACGACAGAAATGTATGAAGGACTCCGTAACGGAACAATTCTGAACAATAATGCTCATAACCCCAGAAATCAGATGAGGCATGACTGAGCCTTTCCCCAACTGTACAATCCTCTACAAGTGATCAAATAGCAACAGAGTCAATATGCACAGTAACAAAACAATTAGCTGGACTTTTATAGTTATCATTAAACCTCTAGTCACGAAAGATTAGTTGATCAATTTATTTGTGTATCACCTAGTTACCAATTTAACTGCTTAACAAATTCAAAAATTAAATTAAAAGTTTTCGTAATCTCTGGAGAAAGAGTCGTTGACCAAAAGCGCACATCACAAAAATTACCCAACTTGAATTCATTAACCAGTAAATTTTTCAAAAAAATTTTGAGATATAAACACAGGTTTAGCCAACACATGTTTATTTAACTGAATGAGAGTCTTGAAATAAAGTATCATATTCTGTCACCATAATCTCAGAAGAAATGATGTGTCTTTAGCTTGAATAAAATTGGATTTAAGAAAAACTATGCTGTGTTTTGTTCTTTTTTGTCTCATTTCACCAAGTTTTAGCAAAAACTTTCTCTGGTCAAAGTTTAGAAACACTGCTTAAGGACATATGTAGATTAGATTAGAATAATTAACTATGATAATTTTCTGCCCTTGGGTAGAGGGAGTTACTCTTCCATATAGTCAAAAACAAGAACTCTGGGCAATCACTGAGAAGAACTTTGCCAAGAGTGACTGGCTCTACAAATTATGTAGCCCAACAGACCAATCTGGGTCCAGGATTAACACCGTATCATAAAATATCACAGTCCACCATTTCAAAATCCAACTAAAATCAACTATGGAGAATTCTGAATTTCTCGTGTAAAATGAAACACAGAAAACACTAAAAATGATTTTACATTTTTCATTTGCCTAAATATCTAACTTTTAAAAAGAAAAAAACCATCTTAAGAGTATTATAAATGATGAATTACTGATGTTATGAGTAATACTAAAACTTCTGGAGAAACATTTTTTATATCTTTAGTATTTTCCTTTTATAAACTTGTTCTAAAAGCTACAGATATGCCATAAACATCACACATTAACTCAAACATAATTTGACATTATGCATTTTACATAAGTCATTGAATATCCATAAAAAACATATGTAGTCAAAAAGACTTCACCTTCCAAAAATCATAAACTACTACATTTCCAAATCAGGCTTTTTAAGTCCTTGCGCTCAGAGAAAACCGACTTCTCTCATTTCCTAACGACATGTGTTTTTCTATGTTGATGACAAAAGTACAGTTCTTGGAACTCAAACTCCATCCACAATAGAACAGCCCATTTATCTGGCCTTGTCAGGAAATGAGGTGCTCCACAGAAATGACTTTTCCAAATAACTTAAGCATATCATGTTCAGTGCCAGATATATTTTTTTTAATTTTAATAAGTCACTGAGATATTTTTTCTTTTTACATAGTTGTTTTTCTTTGTCAACAGAAGATACTAGATTGGTAGTGAAATTTTCCCTAAAACTCCCCTACATGAACCCACCATTATGCCACACACAGGACTGTGGTCTACATCTCCTTGCAGTTTTCCCACCTCCTTTAAAATCACATTATGAAATAAAGCCACTCTTGCTAGCATTGTGTCAAACTGGAAAATACCACCACCATTTTACCTACAAAGGAAGTGAGGTTTTCACAGGTCAAATAACCTGTGGAGACCACAGACTAGTGTGTGGCAGAGCCTACTTATTCCAAAGCTTGTTCTCCAGCCATTACGTTAAATTAAATAAGTAAACACATTTTTAAAAATCAGTTTTTTAAAAAGATATTAAAGAAAGATCCCTAGGGCTTACGTGAGAGTCCTGTACGGTGAGGTACATGCCCAGAACTGCACTGAAGGAGTCGTCAGGACAACTGGGGCCTGACGAGGTCACTTTTGGCTCTACAATTTATTTTGGGAGCCGGGTGTTGTGGGTTGAATTGTGTTTCCCCCCTCCCAAAATTCATGTTGAAATTCTAACCCCCAGAATGTGACCATATTTGGAGAGAGGATCTTTACAAAGGTAATTAAATTAAAACAAGGTCACAAGGGTGGGTTCTAATCCCATATGATGGATGTCCTTATAAAAAGAGGAAATTTGAACACAGACATATATAAAAGGAAGATGATGTGAAAACCAGGGAGAAGACTGCTGTCTATAAGCCCAGGAGAGAGACGTCCGAAGAAACCAACCCCGTACACCTTGATCTCAGACTTCTAGCTTCCCAAATTGTGAGATGATACATTTTTGTTGTTTCAGCCACCCAGTCTGTGATCATTTATTTTGGCCACAGCCCTGACACACTAACACAAGAGGCTTTAAAAAACTCTTTCAGGGTGCCCAAAGGTCTTCCCCCTCCTTTTATGTGAAATAGGCCTATGATATGGAGGAGAAACTTACCATGCAATAAAGCTAAAAACATAGATACCGTCATTTGCAATGCTATACATTGCCTATCTAGATGGAGCCCCTCTTTGTACCACTGGGGAAAAGCTTGCTTTGTTGTTTTAACCTGGATTATCACGGTCTACATCAGAAATCCCAGAAAATAAAGAGCTCTGGGCAGCTTCTACCCAGAGCAGTAGCTGACCACAGCTTACTATAAATCCCCTAATGTCTCACTTATTTTCCCTTCATGTTGTTTTTAGTACAGATGAACAGTAAACAAACAAAGCCAGGAAGCATTTAAATAAATAGGAAATCTGTGTCACAATGGTAATTTTCACCATCTCAACAACTGTAACACAAAGAGCCAGATTTGGAGATTATCCTGGACTGAAACCTCTGCCCGTATCCCAGACAGAGTAACTGAGCAGACAGCTGGATATCCATCCTGGAAGACACCGACTCTCACATGCCTTGTTGTGGCCCAGCTTGAAATGAAAGAAAAGGAAAAGGGTATACTTGGTCACTGGGGAATCTTCAATCACAAGGAAACTGCTTGGGAGAAGAGCGTGGTTTGAAGCAAGACCAGTGGTGAACTTCAAGTCACCAGATTTTAAAAATCTACATGTTGTCCGTGTTTGAGAAGATGAGTGGGTGCAGGGCTATATGGAAGTTAGGTAAGAAAAGCAAAAAGCACCTATGTTTTATTATGCTATAGTCAATAACTGTAAGCTAAATGAGATCAAACTCATGATCCCATTTAATCTTCTCAACAACCCAAGGAGGCAAGTACTTTTATTATCCCTATTTTACAGATGAGGAGACTGAGGCTGAAGGAAGCTAAGTAAATTACAGAAGCTCATGGAATAATAAGCAGCATAGCCAGAATTTGAACCAAGATTTTTCTGACTAGAAAGCTCATACTTTTAATGATATACCAATGCTTAATTCCCAAACAAGAGCCATTATTAAAAAAAAAAAATTAACTGTTTAAAATAAAGACAGCTCTAAAAGTCATGAAAAATTATCTGTTCAAATAAAACTTGGATATTTATCAAGAAACACTCATAAAAAGGAAATTTCACAGTAGTTTAGCAAAATGGCTTCTAAGAAATTCTTAAAATATATGTGAACCACGTGAAATGAAGGGGAAATGGTATACACAGGAAGAAAAGCAGGGCATGGAGTCACTTGAGGAATTTCTCAATAAAGAATTACACCAGTGGTAACTGAATCACAGGCTTAACTTTTCAGCACAGAGAAAATGACCAAAGCCAAAGCTTTGAACATTTGCTTTCAAAGTGTGCCATTTATTCCATACCCTCTACCACAGAAATTACAGCACTTACCTCTCTCTGGAAAAAATTCCAAGCGTGAGTAAGCCACCGGTATCTAGGTAAGCCATAATTTGTCATTCTGGCTTTCAAAGTGACCATGTCTGACCACTGAACTGGAACCTAGAGATAAACAAAATATCAACAACTGGGACGTACAAACACACACATTCAGTTCAGAAACACAAACATTCCCATATTCACAAATGTAATCGCTCACACACTCATATGCATACTTGGAATGTATTGCAATTAACAAATATTATTTTAAATTTATATTTGTTTGTGGCCTAAAGTAAGTTCAAGGTTATTTACTTATGAAACAATCTCTATGTGTAGATATTTGCAGTAAATGAGGAAGTTCTTTACATTAAGCAAAGAAAAAATTTAAAATCATTTAATGCCAATATCAAGCTGAAGGAAATCACAAAATAAGCAGTTTACCGTACATCCTACAGGTCCAGCTAAAGAGATCCTCATAACAAATAATCCCTGCCCAGAAATGCCCTTGGACTTGATTTCATAATGCTACGGAGTCGGTTTTTGAAGTGACTGCAAGAGCGCGTGGGTGGCTCCATCAGTTAAGTGTCTGTTTCGGCTCAGGTTATGATCCTGGGGTCCTGGGATGGTCCTGGGATTGTCCTGGGATCGAGCCCCAGGTCAGGCTCCCTGCTCAGCGGGCAGTCTGCTTCTCCCTCTTGCTTTGCTTCTCTCCCTGCTCGTGCTCTCCTCTCTCTCTCTTTCTCTCTCTCTCTCTCTCAAATAAATAAATAAAATCTTTCCAAAAAAATATGAAGTGACTGCAGATTGTAGTACCAAAACAAAGGGATAAGAATTAAGAAGGGAAAGAATCCAGCTCAAGTCATGCCTCACTCTGGAATAAGTGTGTAAATATCTTTCCAAATATTGGATTTTGGACCCATGTTAGAAATTTAGGAAAAATACCTCTCAAATTAAAGCACTTTTTGTGCTTCTAGTCTCAAGTCACCTAGCACCGTGTCCCTTAACAAAGTGTTTAATCATGACAGAGCTTAAGGTACACAACACAACAGTTGGCTGGAAATCTAGTCAGCGCATCACGCAGTGTTTTATCTACAGTGCCCCGGGGGGAAACTGACGCATACACATCCTAGTCTCACCACACATGTGGTATTATGTTTAGAATACGTAACTGGGAAACTGGACAGATATCCATATCTGATGTATGTAGTAATACAGACCAGGATTAGCCAAGCAAGCTTGACACTAACTCAAGATTAGGACTATTTTGCAATCTTATTTTAAAAATAGCAGTATCAATAGAAGTAGTTTAAAAATTCCTGACCACAAAAGTTCTTCATTGTTTTCCTTTGTTAATTCTCTTTTTTTATTACTTGGAAATCTACATACAGAAGAAAACATGCCAACACTTGGGCACACAACTTTGTTCCCCCAAAAAAGGTCTGACTGGGTGTACTTCATGTTCACACGGTTTCAACAAAGTTCAGGGAACTAAACCAAAATTCAGGCTACTCATTATAAGTAATTATTTCATATCCCTTTGAGGGATATGGAAATAAATGGAAATGAAGTAAATGAAGTAAATCTCTAGAAATTTATAATCTGAAACAGTTAATATTATTGATAAATTTTTCTAAAGAAGGAATAATCAATAGGAAGTGACAAAACGACAGAAATAATGGGGAAACAGACTGATGTCAAATCTCTTGATTTGGTTATTAGAACATTCTTATTTTAAATTTTATTTTGCAAAATAAATATAAGCTGTTTCCCTCTTGTAACCACAATCGATGTGCGACCAAATATGGCAAGAAACAGAGGAGATCATTGAGGTTCTGGCACAAAATACTGTGATTTGGCCATAAAGGAAAACACACACTTACTGGCTTCTTGCGTGGAACAGCTAAGAGTACAAAGCCCATTCTATGCAAAGGCTGGGTTCTGCAAAATTTGGCAGCTAATAAACTTTAATGGCACGTTTCATTCACACTGCTATTAGTGCAAAAGCAATAAAAAAATTCTGACAAACTTTTTTTCCAAAAGATCATTTGCCACATTTCACTCGAAACAGCCCAACAGCCCTTGCTTTATCCTGGTAACTTAATGGGGAAGATTTACATAAGCAAACAGTGGCCTATGCACTCAACTGAAATGGCAGCGTATATCCATTTGGTACCACCATGATACCAGGAAGATATTTGCAGATGGCTCCCTAACAGAATAGAAGAAAGTATCTTCTAGAATTAGATGATATTAGAATCAAAACATTTCCTTTCAAATCCCTTAAGTTAATTCATTTCATATTTGTTATAACTTAGGAGGTTTATCAAATAATAGTATGACATAAAAGCTATACAAACCATTTCAAAATCCGTAGAAAGAAAACTCATTTCTAAAACCCTTTTAATTATCAAAAAGAACATAATCAAAAGCTATTAGTAATAGTAATTCTACGACTACTATCTATCGCTTGAATGTCAGGGAGATACACGTACTTCCTGAAAACAGAAAAAATTAGAAGCGACCATCTCTTTATCAATAAAACCCAGAAACTGAATCTGGAACCAACTACTCTTTCACTCCCCGAAAAACATGTTTCTAGGGATGGAGTGAAAATATGATTCTCAAAGACAGCAAGAACATTCTTATTTTAACAGGAGATTTCATTTTGAAGAAAGTTCTTAACTTTATTAAACTAGTCAGAACCTGCCCTGACTTTTCAATTTTTAATAGGAAAAAAATAATCATGAATTCTCTCTTCTTACTAAGAGTTGTCAGACAGGGGAAGCATGAGTCTTTCAGGCGGGTTCAGATGTGTGGCAGCGCCGAAGCCTCGTTTACATGCAAATTAGAGTATGCAAAGTACCATTAGTCTGTAATTATCGCTTAGCATTCAAAACAGTCTCACAGTACAGTAACGGATTCACCACAGAATCTTTAATAACTGTATCGGTACCGAACGGACTTCACTTTTAGTACACAACTGCTGAAATGTCTCTCTAAAACAAATACAAAATAATCTCCCTCTCTTCTTCAGAGCTCACATGTTAAAAAAATATGTTGAAGGTTCACCTGGGGAACTTGTCGCAAATGTGAATGCCCCGTCCCTACCCCTTCTTCTTCTGCCTTTCCCTCTATTCTGATTTAGTGGATCTGGCCTAGTGCCCTCTAATGTGCATTTTTAAGAATTGCCTTGGATGATTCCTCCTGTAGACAGTCCAAGGACTACTTGTTGAAAAACATCATCTTCCCAAAACAAAATGACTCTATGATGCTTAGAGTGGAAAACTCTGGCCACCATGAAAACAGCCAGCAAACAGACATGAAAAGGTGCTCAACTTCATTGGTGATATATGCACCAATTGTCACCAATGAAGCAGGCAAACATTAAAAAAGTAATAATGCCCTGGGTGAGCAAGGGTGAAACGCAAGTGATAAACCCAAAGTAACTGGTAAAATCTTACGACTGAGAAACCCTATCCTTGTTCATTCTCACTTAGCTCTGAAAGTTGATTTCAATTGATAAAATGAAAGAGAAAACATGCTTAAAAGCTGCTTTCATGTAGCCAAGTCTCAAACTATGAGAGTGTTTCTAGGCTGAAGTAAACACACAGCAACTCTTCAAATATAGTTCTTAAAGGAAGATAGCTCAGCTTCTTGGGAACAGAAGATTCATGCTTCCTAGTCATCAGGGTACAGCTGAGGTGGGCATTTTATGAGGCTTACATGTCGATTTTCAAACTTTCCCAGATCTTGCTGTAAACGCGAATCTTTCCTATTATACACTCAGAAGTTGGCAAAATTATTTTCGGACATATGTTACTTCTAGTCTATTATATCGATGTTTAAGCAACCTGTGGAATTAAAGACATACAGTACAGCAAATAAAATATTACAATTTATGATTTGGAACCATGTGTTAGACACAGACAAGAAAATATTAATTTTCAGAAGTATTGGGACCATGTTTACAGTATAAACATTCAAATTAGGGGAGCTGGGTTGCTCAGTGGATTGAGCCTCTGACTTTTGATCTAGGCTCAGGTCTTGATCTTGTGGTCATGAATTTAAGCCTCACTTAAACAAACAAACAAACAAACAAAAAACTTTCAAAGCCATAATCATGTGCCTAAATAACTCCAAAGTATATGATTCAAAAGGCTGAACTGGATGTTGTTCCAGATCGTGACTACTTCCCACTTTGAACTCACCATAATTTCCTGCTCGTATGTCCAAACACCACAAGCCAGTTCTACACAGAAAATGACAAGCAAACTTCCAAAGTACTGTAGAAGAACAAAAAATTAATGCTGTTAGGATAGAATCAAAATAAAATATGGTCATCAAAGACAAGCTAAATATTATTCAGTATTGTTTACCCAATGGACAAGAAAACAGAGGCACATATTTAAGAAGCTCCCTTGGGAGGAGATGAGAAAAGTGTCCACAAATTGAGAAAAATCTACAGACAACATTCAATACTCACCTAAATAGGCCATTTGACTAGTGCTCTATTTATCAAGTACTTTCATAATTCATTCACTCAAGGACCTTGTGAAAGGGATAGGACTATCTCATTTTACAAATGACAAGATTAATGCAAAAAGTAGACAATGTGAGTTGCTCAAGAATGTGCATAGTAAATTTGTGGGGGGTGCTAGAGCTTTGCTGCTGTGTTCCGTGTACTGCACCTCGACACCTCTCCAGTTGTGGAGGTATCTTTGCAGAAATAAACAGTAAAAGTGTGAGAAAGAATGGGCTCCCTGAAAGTTCTCTTCACTAATTCCGGCAGAAATAATGGTGTCATGGATCTTCCACTCCTTTTATGTCACTGGGTCAGGATGAGTGTACCTGGTAGTGATGATTATTGACTAACCCCCTGTACTGGAATGACATCTCCCTTAAGGGCAGGAACTTTATTTTTACAAACTGGGTGCTCAGTAAATATTTGTTACTTAAACAGATAAATGAAAACAAAGCGGAGTAATACCCTAGTAAAAGACAGGAAGCTGCCTTGGGCTGGGTGATCTTTACGGAGGTAATTTTTAAGATGAGTCACTAATGACAAGGAGAAGGCAATGCTGGTAAGATTTGTGGAAAAGCAATCCAGGAAGAGGAAATACCAAGTGCAAGGCCACCTTTTGGGTCAAGCCAGTTAGTTAAGAACTCCGAGGTAAATGGAGCACAGAAGGGGGTGGTGGGCACAGGGAGTGTAAGTAGATGAGATGAGAAGTATAAAGAGCCAGATCTCCAGGGGCAGTAGAAAGGATTTTGGCTTTTATTCTAAGTGTAATCAAAATCCAGCAGCACGTGACACGGTCTGACATACATTACAAAAACACAATTCTGGCTGTTTTGTAAAAAAACAACCTGTAGGAAAGCACAGATGCGAACAGGGCAACTAAATAAAAAATTGCTGAACTAGGATGGTAGCAGGGAAATGGGGCGGGGGAGGGCAGGGAATGGACTGATGATAGGATTGTGAGCTGTCAAAACGTGAACGCTCAGTTTCTTTGCTCATGATTTTTGCCAAAAAGGGGAGGAGGAAATAAAAGATCTAGAAAATTGAGCTGATTTTCTACTACTTCCAGGATATATCCCTATGATTTAAAAATATAAATCACTGCTATTAGTTCTAATTTGCTTCTTTCATATAAAGACATAAATAATATATACATGGCTGCATAATCTCTTAGATAATAACGCAGTCTGAAAATCAAAATTGGTCCAAAAGATAAAGTAATATTTTCTTAAGTGTATCCCACTATATAAGCACTTTTATTTTCAATATATGCAGTACTCTTGGTCAGCTTCAATCTACTCTAATCTCATTGCCTTACTTTAAAGATTTTAGCCTTAAAATGATGATTAGAAGAAATTTTGTGAACCCAGCACTCCAAGTCAGTTTTTCTCCAAACTCTCTTTCGTGGTTTATTTAAGAGATTTGTAGACATGAACAATACCACATGTTCACCTTCTGTTACAAAGAGACCAAATAATTGTATGCCAGATCCATTTTTTTTCTACCTGTGATAAGACCCTACAAGACAGTAAGACTTCTGAGAAAAGTTACACCATGGGATATTTTTGTTTTCCCAAATCCCTAACCTAATTTTTTTTTCAAAATTGATGTTTGGTTATAATGAAAACCAAAGCAGCCCTGAAAAGGCAAGACATCCCTAAAATAAAACATAGACATGGTCGCTGTTGCTGGTCAGGAGAAAACTTTACTGTGCCTTGGGGGTCACCATGCAGATTTCTGGACTGATTTTATATCCTTGTAAGTCCCGCTTGAGTCACTTCTCTTGTTTCTCGCCTCCTGGAGTCACTGGCCAGTTTATGAGGTCTGTGCTGCAACAGCAGAAATGCCCTGAGCACAGAACCAAGGGCAAAGTGCCCAGATATAAGCAATACTTGCAATACCCGAGTCACTCTGCCAGGCCTTCGGATCCAAACTGTGTAGTAACTACATGCATGACAGCACCTTGGATTTCTTACAGCGAGCTTTGCCGTGGTTAGCAACACCATAACTTAAGCATCCCCAGGAATGCATGAAGTATATATAACTAAAACAATCTCTCATTAAAAACTCAAAACTGAGGGGTGCTTGGGTGGTGCAGTTGGTTGAGCATCCTATCCAACCCTTGGTTTTCGCTCAGGTCGTGATCTCAGGATTGTGAGATCGAGCCTCCACGCTCCGTGCAGTCTGTTTGAGATTCTCTCTCCCTCTGCCCCTCCCCTTCTGCACTCACGCGTGCTCTCTCTCTCTCTCTCTCAAATAAATAAATAATCTTAAAAAAAAAAGTCAAAAAAACCAAAAACTCAAAACTGAAATTACCCATCATGGGAAGGAGGGTGTCCATGTAAGCTGGACACTCCTTTAACTCTGGGAAAACTCTAAAACGATTTTATCGTTCAGATTTCCAGTGATGTCATTTGACGCAAGTTCTTCCATATAAAACAGTTCTTCTGTCTTTATTCTACTTAGGAGCACAGATTCATTTGACCTTCAGACGGAAAATAAAAGTTTTAACCACATTATAAGACTTCCTTGGACCAAATTAAATCTCAAATTTAATTCAAATCATAAATATATGAGTATGAATATGTATATATTTTTTGCAAACGATGCTACAGCTTTGTGGTCAGCTGCCCTTGCTTTGTTGTCATTGTGTTGGCCTCACACATCCAGTCTTCTAATTCCAAGGAAAATGCCAGATCCATTGTTAACACGACATACAGAGATCAACCTCATTCATCCCTACTTTTTCTTTTCCAGTGAGCTCCGAGGCCTCCGTGGTCATCTTCATATTGACTATAGCCCAGAGAATCACTCTGCCACTGTTTCGTTTAAGGGCTGGATCTGAGTGAGGCATCTGTTAATCCATAGTTTGAACAGACCAAAGCGAGCAAAGAATAAAGCAACAGCTCCCGCTGACCTCTGCTATGGTATGAAGTGCACACGCATATCATGTTTCACTGCGAAGCCACCCGTCGTCCTCGACAATATTGGGACCACGTATATATCTCCCCTGATGGTGTCAGCCTGTGTCTCCCACGCTTCTCCCTTCCCCGTGCACACTCCCGGCTGAGATGGTCTGCGCCAACCTAGTTTGCAGACCAGTCTGCCCCTCTCATCTCCTTGGGTGCTGTCCTGCCTGAATGGTGAGAAGAGCTCAGAATTTGCAGTCGGAAGACTGAAGTTCAAACCCAGCTCTGAACACACGCTGTGACCTCGGGCAAATCATTAAGCTGGCCTGGCTTCAGTTTGCTCCTCTGTGTACTGAAGATAAACATAAAGCCTTCCTCGCTATTACCATCAAGGCTGATATGATACATGGGAAAGTGGTTTGAAAATTTTTTTTAGTTTTAAATGTGTAAAACGTATACAAATGCTGTCCGCAACCATTCTGTGACGTACAATCCAATATTGACTTGTCCTCTCTTCTCCTACAGAGAGCCTGCGTTCCCCACAGAGTGACGCAGTTTCTTCCTCGTCATCATTTTCCAGCATTTCCTCTCTCGTTCTTTACCACTTTAGTTTTCTCCTTGCCTCCATGTAGAGCAGGGCTCCCCTGTCTGCTGAGCACCAGGCCTCAGAGGCTGTGGCTTTTAAACCAGTTGGCTGCCTCACACAGGTCACAGAACTCACTTAAACACCCGACCGTCGGTTCTGGCTGGGAGGCATCTTGTTCTTGAACATTATTTTATCCCTAGTAAGTACCTATCTCAAGCAGCACCTGTCACGCAGCAAGTCGTCAATAAATGTTTGGTGGAAATAACGATCAGTTTACCAATGAAAAAGATTTCCTTGCGATTCTCTAATTTGAGCTGAGTTTCCTGCTCACATTTGACTCCCTTTGACTTCTACTTACACATTTAAAGAAATTTTAAATATTGCCTCTCTGTTTTACTATTGTCTTCCTTGTGGATTATTCTATGATAATCCAGGGTGCCTTTAAACATTCAGGACAATTTAACAAAGCTAAAGAAAAGGAGCAATGTACAGACTCCCCCATCTTCCCTCAGCTACTAAGAACTAAACATTTCAAACAAATGTAGAATGAGAAACTGGTTATGCAAGGAAATTAGAATGCGATCATTTGCATGACAAACTATTTTATTTGCTTTAAAAATTATTCAATACAGAGTTCCTTAAAATAGCTAAGTTCCTCTACTGTAATTAACTAAAATTTGTGTTCTACGAGTAAGTTTTATCTTTAAGCATCAAATAAGGCAAGCAGACAACAGGACACACACACCCCCACAAATGATGCAATTAATTAGTGATTTTTTTTTTTTCCACCGAACCTCTCAAGCTTAGAATCATTACCTTCAGTTAAAAAATGAGAGCCCTCTGTAGGGTACCACCAAAAAGAGTACGTGGCTCTGGGCTTACCATATTCTTATGTCTCTTACATGCAAAGGCAGAGGTACTCTATGTTATTTCTAGCCAACTCATATATTTTGTATATACCACTCCTTTCATAGATACATGTACATGTGTTTCTATTATTTATGGTATTTAACAAATGCTCTAGTCTACATTTATAAATAGCTTTATTGGGGTATAATTCAATGGTAAGTATACAGTTAGATCAGCTAGTATAGATTAAAACAGGATCCTTTAAAGAAGATGTGGTCCATACATATAATGGAATATTACTCAGCCATCAGAAAGGATGAATACCCCCAACTTTTACATCAACATGGATGGGACTGGAGGAGATTATGCTAAGTGGAATAAGTCAAACAGAGAAAGTCAATCATCATATGGTTTCACTTA